CAGGAATGTCCTGGGAGGATTTTGGGAAGGGGAAGGCATGGGGGTTGCCTTCATCCCGCTCCTCACCGGCGCAGCCCGGGCTGAGAGCCGTGCCTGGTCCCCCGTCCCCTCGGAGGCAAAGTTTGCAGAAAGTTGTGCCCGGTCAGAGTGGTCCCCAACACCCCGCTCCGTCCCCCGTGGGACACACGGGGCTGGGGACAGAGCCCCGAGCGTAACGGGGTGTCCCCAGGGTGCGTGGGGCTCGGCAGGCGTCCAGAGGAGAAGTTGGGTTCTGGCGGTGGCGGTGCGAAGCTGTAGTCACTCAATGTGAAACTGCTCTGGCTGCACACGCGTGTGGCAGAACCGGTTACCGTGAAGAGCGAGCGGGGCAGCGAAGGGGAAGAGCGAGCCATGGTGGAAATCGGAAGCGATTCTGGTACTTTCAGCAAGTTGCTGTGGTAACTGTGCAGAATTTGGCTCCGAGGGCCAGACAATGAAACCTTTACTCATAGCAAGTTGTGACGGGCCACTCATTTCGTTACTGAGTTAATGGTAACTGGTGGGCCTTCGGGTGGATGGTTTTTCCCAAATGGCATTTGTCACTCAGGGGCCTGATCTGGGGTTTCTCTCTGTCAGTCCTCCCGCTGGAGGAGAAGGCAGAGCCTACCCTCGAGCCCACCCCGAGTTTATTTTTAGGTGAGCCTCTCGGCGTTGGGGCCATGCAGTCCCTGCCCGCCTCCATCACCCTGGGGGGGCCACCAGGTCCCGCAGCCCCCGTCCCAGCGGGCTGCGCAGGGGCAGAGAGCTCCAGGGGGCTCGGTGAGCGTGTCCCTGATCCGGGTGACGCTAGGGGATGCAGCCCCCCTACCACCCCACCACCTCCCGCTGCCACCTGGGACCCACGCTGTGGCTAACGCTCTCCTTCTGTTTGCAGGTTTACGGTGCACTCAGCTTGCCGAATCCTGCCTCAACGGGGGCAAGTGTGAAACTTTTCTCAACGGGACGGAGGTGTGCCAGTAAGTATGGAGAAGCCCAGAGGATTTTCATCTCCCCCGACCAAAGTATTGACATGCATGTTGACTTTGCTTTGAAGGCTCTGGATTTAATAGGGCAAGATGCGTTTTCTTTCCTTGAGTGGCAAGAATAACCTGCTTGTGTAGGAGTCGCCGCGAGTCTGGCAGGATCAGGCTTTGTTCCTAGCTGGGTGGAAAAACATGGGCAAAGGGCCATGTTTTGCTGGTGTTAACCTATGCAGACTGCCCTGCTGATGGAGCAGGAGGTAGGGCCAGCCCGCGGCGCTCGTTGGACCGTCGGGCGGGGAGGGAGGCTCTCTGTCTGTCTGTCTTCCAGCGACTCCCTCCCGGCCCCGAAGAGTTGCCTTTCAGTCCCTCACACCCTGGCAGTTCACGGTGTGGTGTCCAGTACATCTCCAATAAACATTCGGGAGAGGTTTCATGGCGTGGCTCTGGCTGCTGGAGTTGCCCCATTGATGTCCGTGGGTCTGTGGGGCATCACCCAGGGTGGGCAGGGGAGCAGCACCGCCTCCTCCCGCAGCCCTGCCGGTGCCAAGCTGCGGTCCAGCTCGGCGTTCCTGGTGGGACCTGGCACCCGGGCAGGAGCTTTCTCCAAGGCGATTGTGGGGAAACGGATGTGTAAAGCGTTGGGACTCTTTGAAGGACCAACCGACCCACCGCAGCGATGGCCGATTCACTCCAGGCTCCCAGGGAACAATAACCAAGAGAAATGAATAAGACTCCAGCTCCCTTTTTAAAACTATTCCATAAAAGAAATGTGAATGGGCAAGGCTCTGTTTTCCGGCCAGATTTCCCCTCTGCCTGTTGAACGTGGCCTGAGCTGAGAGCAGGCGGGGAGACGTTCCCACCCACCCCAAATTTCCAAATAGGAAGTCCGCGGCGGAGGAACCTGAAGGCATTTCCAATCCCAACCTGTTGAATGGCAGTTTCCCTTGACAATGTGTGTTGCTTTTTGCAAATCTGCCCGGGTGCCGTTACTCTGCCCAGTAGCCGGGTACCTCCCGCCCCCTTCTCCGAGCTGAGCCCCCCAACCCTTTGGTGCAAATAAATCAGCAAATCAATCAGGCACATGAGCAATTTAATGGACAAAGGCTGGGTCTCTTTGTGAGCCACTAATGAATGCACGCCACTTTTTTTTGCACAGAAGCCCTTACCAACGCTTGACGCTCTAAATCTTGTTTTCTTTCATTCAAAGAGCGACAGCTGGGATTCGGTCGAAATTCGGCAGCTATTGTTAAGGGAGGCAGATTAATGCTGTGTGACTAATCATGTATGGCTTCCCAGAATGCCCAACCCTCCACCCCCTCCCCAACCTTACACCCCTCCTTTTCCTTGTGGTCATTCTTCCTTTTTTTTCTTAAGTCTCTGCAACTCCTGATTTACATTTCATGTGCAGATGGTGATGGAATCTAATTAGATCTGATGTGTGCGAGCTCTATTTGGAGGAGAAGCCTCCAAAGTAGGCTTGGGGTGGGGGGTTTTTTTAAGAGAAAAAGTTAACTTTGAAGAACTTCTTCGTTGCTAGCTGTGAATAACCGCCTCTCTCTTGGCTGCAGACGCCAGGATGGCTTCGCGAGTGCGTGCGAGTTATTTTTGCAGGAAACCAAGGTGCGTGCTCGCAGTGTGTGAAAGCGCTTGTCCCGTGCAGGGTACGTTCCACGGGCGATGGGGGCAGATATTAGAGGTACTTCCAGACTGGAGGAGGTGCGACTTTCCGAGGTGTCTGATAGCAGCTCGCAAAATCCCGGTTTTCCACTTGTTTGAATATCTCTTTACGAGGAGTTTTGCTTCCAAGCTTCTTAAACAAAGCGGAGCCAAGAACACAGATACCAGACGCAGAAAAGCTTGGCACTGCCCTTTGGCGCCTGCGTGAAATGCACCATTTTGGCTGCTGGCCACATCTCTGCTCGGCCTGGCACTTAACAAAGTTTGGTCATAAAGCCCCATTGTGCTGCCCCCACAAATCCAATTAGAAAGTGGAGTGAAATAAATAGCGTACGAGGGAGACGCTACTCCAGCGGACGAGCGTCCCGGCGTTTGTGGCGGGAGAGAGCCAGTTGGGTTACGTGAAGACGACTCTGATAACACCAAACCCGAGTTATCAGCCCTGTTACGGAAAGGGAATCGCCGGTGCGAGACGAGGAGCTTTCTCCGCCTTTATTACTTTACAGCGATAGTTTGTAAAGCTCCAGGTGCCTTATCTTGCTTGTCCCTTTGCCAGGCGGCGCGGGGCACGCAGGGCTTTAATTGAATGGAGAGGACTGAGCATTTGATCGGCTGAAGGGCTCGCGACAGAAGCGGCCTAATTAAGCCGCCTTTGGAGCTGCTTTCCATCTTGGCAGGGGTAGTCGGGTCTTTCAGTGCTGGAGGAGCAGCCGCAGAGTTTTGCGCATCGTGCGTGGACTCCAGCTGTGAAGGCGCGGGGGGTTTCTGTCCCGCGCACAGCGCTCGCACCACATCTGGAGCTGTAAAAGGTGCGGGCTGCGGAGGGCTCGGACCAGCAGATGATGGCTGCTGCGCTGTTTGACGTGTGGTTTCACGGCGCTGGGGAGCTGTGGCTTTCCAGAAAAGGCGCTCGCCTTTCACTAAGGCATTTTCCCAGACAAAATGAGAAGGTTTTCCAAAAGGTCGGTTTGATTTTTAGTGGTAGCTCCTAATTAGACTGTTGGGTAACCGTAGTTTTGACTGGCATCCCTGCAAATGAGCGGGGCTGATTTTAGATTGCTGTGGCCATGTGACGGTTATTCCCAGGACCTCCCTTGCTCCGCTAGTTAAAAGCAGATGGCATGAAAGAGGGCTGAGTTTCAAACCCCGCTCCACCAGCCTCTCACCATTAAAGCCAGAGGAGCTGCGCCTGGGTTGTCGTACTCTTGCCCGGAGAAGCCAAAGAGTCGGCAAAGGAGAAGAATAAGTTAAATTAATCACTAGGCTTGCGCTGAAAAGGGGGAAAAGTCAGTTTGCTAAAGTACTTCCTCTGTTTATGAATCAGAGCGACGTCGTAGTTCAGCCGGGGCGATGGCTCCTGAGCTGGTGCCCATTGCCACCACCAGCTTCCACGGGCAGCGGGCCAGAAACCTTAGAAGAAATGTTCAGAGGGGGACCGTAGCGGGAAGAGATGATTATTTTAGCTCAAAACTCTTTCAGGAGACAACCAGGAAGACAGAGGAGTGATCTGAGCCCTGCAGCTCTCTGCGCCCTTCAAGTTATTCAACTGCTCAGTCATTGTTATCTCACTGTAAAGGGCGGAAGTTTCCTTCTGGTTTGGTTTTTCTCATGTGCTTTAACCCAACGTTATTTCCATGAAATAATAACAAAGAAAAAATGCAGTCTCCGTGCTGGAGAGGAAGAGGGTGGAGTGTTGAACAATCAACCAGAGGAAGCTCTTAAAGAAGTAGTCGAGCGGTGATTCAGCCATGTTGAGAACTCTTGATGGCCCTTTCGAGTCTGATCTCATTCCTGATCTCATTCTCGGAAAGAACAAGGTGGAAATGGGTAAGAGGGTAGATTAAAAAGACAAAAGCGTCACCTGTTGCGGATTCCAGTGGAAGAGAAATGTAGCCGAGAAGCCCAGCTGGTGAGGTCACTAGGACAGCAGTGGGATTTTTGAGCTCTTTTCTAGAAGAATCTCTGTTTACATCTGTCTTCTCTGCAAGGCGCCGTGATGGTTATCAGTTGTTTCAGGTGGTCCCACTGACTCCTGCTAACTTGCCTTGGGATTTGATTGGTTGGGCTGAGGTTTTTTTGCTTGATTTTTCCCGTGGCTTGGTACTTGTGGTGGCCTGCGCTTGGGCAAGGGCCAGCAAGGGTCACGTTCAGGAGGGGGTATCTTGGCAGGTCCCTCCGCAGTACCTGCAGCATGGAGATGAGCAGGAGAGGTGGGGTGGTGCCGGCAGAGATGAATTTGCTCAGGGGCTCCCCAGGATGCAGAGGGGATGAGGTATTGGCAGTGGTCGTCACCTGAGATCAGAGGGCCTGTTCCCCGCTGGGTCCTTGCAGCTGTTAAATGTGTGGTCCTGCAGTGTGATGTGGTGTACGGGGCTCTGCTCCATGGTTGGCTTCTGGAGGTGGCTCGCTTCGTCATACAGGGTATGTTTTATTCCACCAAAACCTCTCTTCCTACCTGCTGGAAGCCAGAATACGTCCATTTGTTCCAGCTGATACTACACACCCTGGTCTCACCTCCAAGGCTGTTACAGTTTATTGTATGTAGCATGAGGGACACATGCTTGGCCATTGCAAAGCCAAGCTATTCACCAATTAAAGGCTTGGCTAACATAATCAGCAGGCAGTTAGCAAGTTTTAAAATAACATTGTTTGGAAATTAACCTGCTCTTTCCAGGCCTGGAGGTGTGCTGACCCTCGTTTTGCTCGTGTTGGTAGGTGTCCCAAATGGTAACGGCGTGTGTACATGAGCGGAATGTGAAATTTATAGAGCATCAGTGTGTTTAACGAGGGTGTAGCCTCGGGGTGCAGTTACCGAGAGCTGGTGAGCTCTGGATCTGGATGGAGACTTCTCCATGGTTAACGTGTTGCCAAACTCCAGGTGAAGGTTTTAGACCATGTATTGGGGCTGCGGAGTGGAAGAGCCTCTGGGACACAACTTAACCCCCCCAGGGAAAGCAGCCCTGCAGTGGGATCGCGGTTGAGTCCTGCCTTCATCCCAGGGGAAAAAAAGGTGGTCCATCTCTTTCCTTGTAGGCGTTTGGCTTTGTGTCCAGCCAGCTCCTGCTGCCGCCCGGGATGGGGCAGCACCACGGGGCACTTGGGCTGTTCACTCACTGCTGCCCAGGCCGGTCTTGGGCTGACCTCCTGCAGCCCTTCGCTTTGGGGATCAGGGTTAGAAGGACCATCAGGCCAGAGGGGTGAAGGTTTGGGGTGATCCCAGATGCTTTCCGAATACTCTCTTCGTCTCATTGCCGTTGGCACAGCATTGAGCCCCAACGCCTGGAAGTGGCTGTGCCAAAATTCTGCAGGTCCCTGACATCGCCCTGCTGCATGGTGCCCTCATGAGCCTGGATTTGCTGTGGGGAAGAGGCATCCCAGCTTCCCCAGTCCATCCATCCATGGAAGGGCTCTGTCCTGCAGTGCCAGGCTCCTTGGAGTTGACCTTGATGGGTATCTGCAGCGGTGGGTTGGTGTTACCACCATCCCGAGGACTGCCGGCCATGGGTGTTGTGTTGGGCTCTCACCAGCCCAGGGCTGTGCTGGCGCTTTGGTCTGGGGTAAAACTGCAGGTACTCACATCGGCCAAAGATCTGGAATGAGCAGTAGAAATGCTGCTCTGGGGTTGAGGGGGAGTGTTGCATTTTTGCTTCTCGGGTATTTGAGCTCGGGGGCATCCAGGGGCAGGAGCAGGACGCGAGGGTCAGGGCTTTGGCACCACTGGCGTCAGCGGGGTCTGATCAGGGGCGCAGAGCCAGGGCTCTGAAGGGCTGAGGAAGACCCAGTTGGACTTAATAGCACAAGTCTCTTTGCACATCTATCGCGTGTGATGTTGGGAAGTCTTTGCAGCACTCCACTACATCTTAGCGACACCAGACCATGGCAGCTCCCATCTGCCTGCTTGGAAAGTCCCAGGACAACTAGAGTTGCCCACCTGGGGACACCCCGGTCTTTACTTTGACATCTGAGTCTTGCTGGTAGAGCAGCGCGGCACTGCTTCCAGCTGGCCATCTGGCTGAGGTGGGACAGTGCCCATTCAGACTTGCGTGCCCTTGTGTGGACTCTGCCTTCCTCCATGCACAGCAGTCCCTGGACCCATGGCAATGCCTCCATCTACACCTCTAGTGTGTGTCTGGTCCATCGGGTCACTTTGTCTCACCTCCCCGCGTTGGCAAGTGTCCCCTGGGCAGGGGTCTGTGGTACGGGATGGTGTCAGTGTTTCCAGGTACATCAAGTGAGGTCTGCTCGGTGCCTCAGTTTCCCCCCATGTGCTGTTGCTTATCTGAACATCAAAACCTGACTCAGTGCCAGATGGAGCAGCACAACCTGCCGGGCGCATCCCGCAGGTGAATGAGGCGATGGAGGTGCCTGTTGGTAAATGCAGTGAGAGATGCAGCATCAGGAGCACAACGAAAGACCGTGTGCGGGGTTGAGGGGGGAGATGTCCGGCCGGGTCCTGCCCCAGGACGGAGCAGCATCTTGCCCGCCGCCCCACGCGCAGCGGGGTTCGTGCTCTGCTCACGGCCGGTGATGTCCCACGTCTGTGTCTGCGAAGGGCTGTTGGGAGCAGGTGAGCGGTGTGAGCGCTGGGTGTGCTTCCCTCGCACACCCGTAATTAATGTCTACTTCGAGCTTTCACCCGTCACGTCCTCCCCTTCCCCCCACGGCAGTCTGGAGTTAATATTGGAAAAGTCAGTTAAACAGTTAATGTTTAGGCCCTGGTTATTAGGCTCTTACACATTTCCAGCAAAGAGAGCAGAGTTGCATTTTAATGGGAAACTTTCACGCTCGGTCAAGTTGCAAAAATTTATTTGCGCAGAAGTCATTTTCTTTTAACAAGTTTTCGCCCTAATTCCCTTCCCCAAAATCTGAATTTAATGGTATTTATATGGGAAATGGATTTATTAAGTTTTA